TTTTTTTGGGGGGGGGGCCTATGAGTTTGACATAAGACAGGAATACGTACTAAGAACCCATCTGTACTCTAGCACACAGACTCAAACAATAACTGTCAGAGGGCAAAAAAAGTGCATTGAAAAAGAGCTCCACATACAGCAGATGCTTAAAACCGACTATTGAAACCACAGAAAACTTTACCCTAACATGTTAAACCAAATTCACATTTTGAAAACCAACATTAACACATGAATTCTAGTAGCCTCACATAAGTCTTGTAAATTTTTAATTCATGAAGTCTGAAATACTTATGAAACATGGATTTAGGATTATAAGAGAACAAAAATGTTTGCAAGAACAGACTCAGACAAAAGTTTTCTTGAAAAGATACAGGTGGTGGTAGTAAGGAAACAAATGTTGAAAATGAGTCAGGTACATACGTAGGAAGGTAACAACCAACTGTAGTACAGGCAGGCAGAGCTCTTACGCAGGGAAGAAAAAAAATCAATTTGACAAAGGAGAGTGGGAAAGGCAAGCACTTAGTAAAGAGCCTTGAAATGCTGGCCTGGAGTTTAAGGTGTGTAAGATTTCGGTGTAAAAGTGGACCATAAGCTCATAAAGAACATAAATGATAAAACCAATTATCTCTCATCTTTTAAAATACATTTGCTGTCATTTCTAATGTAACTGATGAAAAAAAAAAAAGCTGAGAAGGAAAACTGCTGTTATTTCCCACAGTTCATGTTAGCTTACAATACATACCTCTAGCATACAGTCTCATGCTTTCCATGTAAGTTGCAAGGTTTTCTGCTACCAAAGTAACTAGGGCATGATTGTGCTGAAGTTGATTGATTAAATCATGGCGATAAAATACATGGGGACTTCGCTGAGTTTGACTGAAACGAGAAGAACTTAACAATATAATTAGGCAATTAAACTCTGTTTTAATAAAAAGAGCTTAACAATCTAAATTCTTAGCCACTAATTAAAAAACTTAAACTGGTTTCTTTCATAATAGAATTAAACGGCCATCTATTTTCTTTGATGACAATATCAAGCTATTTAAAAGAAAATAATCAATGCCTCAAAAATAAGACATTCATTCCATTATTCTTATTTTACACAAAAACTATGCATTAATATTCTCCAATTTCACACCATGGAAAAATCAGTAGCTGATTTCTTCTCCTACACTATTCTAGTACCAAAGCACTTGTAAGTTTACATGATTATTTCCAGAATTATAAAATATAAACATTTCTTGCAAGATTAGCACCACAAAGATTATGCTGCAATTGTAGTGAAGAATTTAATCAAATAAAGTGCTTTCATTAAAATTTTACTTGTTAGCCATTTAAAGTACATTGTGGGATACTTAGTTTGTAGCTAAGTTTGTCCACAGTTATCACCAGAAAGACATCTAGTTCCTTTCTAATGTATTTTGTCAGCTTAACTGAAACCAATAACCTCTCACAGCATTACTATTCTAGTGAAGATGAAGCCACTGTTCCTTGGGAGAGCATATAAACTACTGTGTCTATCTGTAACAAACAAATGAATTCATTTGAGAAAGGCCAAAAGGCATTATGTACAGTGGGCTAAATAATCAAAAATAATTTTAATAATCAAATAAATGATAATAAGATATATGTCTAAATTTTCTCCACTTTATATCCCTTACAGTTTTTCTAATTTCTTATTTTTCCAGTCTTGGGGCAAAAAATGAGACAAAATTCAACTGCTAAAATCAAAACATATATGGCCTTTTCTCCTTTTGCTTAGGCATAATCATAACCTAGAGCTGTAAAGGATCTTGGCAATCATCTAATTTTATATATAAGAAAAACAGATTTCTTTAGATAGAAAATCTTCATAAGATGATGTGAATGGTTAGATACAAGTGTCACACACACGGGAATCCTGACTCCACTGTGAATATTCTTTGCACTACACCTAGCTCTCTCTCTCATTTTTTCTTCTCATGTTATCTTCTCCAACTCTTATAACCAGAATGTATAAGGACAAATTATTCCAGTAACCAAACTTTGGTTTGAAAGAAAATATATACTTAAACCCAGCTATTTAACAGAAATTTAAGCTACAATAAATCAGAAAAAAATATTTTTAAACCATACCTTGTCATCATTCATCATTTAAACATACTTGCAATCTAATCTTTGAAATTAACTTTAAAAATTAACCATTTAAAAAATCAACAGGTTTATTTTACTGTGAAACTGCTGTAGTATGACCTTTCAAAGTTAATAAAATGTTAAATGTTTCAGAGTAAACCAATTATGGAAATAATAATGTCTTTAAGAAATATATAATATGGGATAAAGGGTAGACACTGGGCAAAAAGGGAAACAAAGCAGGAAGGATAAAATGAAACAAGGAATTAGATTAATAGATACAACACATGCCATGAAATTATCTAGCATACTTGCTGGAAATAAGAGATAATTGTGAACCAAGAAACTAAAGGCAGTATTACCATCTTGATTCTCATCACTAAACTGTGCCTTACCTCCTCATCGATAAAATCAAAGAGGTGGTTATGATAATGGAATCTTTTGTTTGAAATTAACCCATGTATAAGCCTTCTATTACCCCACTCTAATTTTTTAAAAATCTGCTTTTACCAACTAACAATGCTTTTCAATAAAATACATAAACAAAAATATTGAAATTTTCTGTTAAAAGCCTTACCTCAAATTTTGAGGTGCTTCACCAAACAAACTACAAATTTCTCTAATTTGTTTCAGTGCGGGTATTACCCATTTGTCATTTGTACGAAGTTCTTCTATAAAGCGATCTATCCACTGTATTTTCTGTGTGTCACGGTCCTTAAAAAACAATTTCAATGTTTTATATAGGTCAATACTCAGGAGAATTCCACCTTCAAATTAGTTTGAGAATTACAAAATAGAGCTTTTCTTGTAAGATTAGTATCATAAACATCATGCTGTAACTGTAGTAAAGAGTTTAATAGCAATAAAAGGCAGCTTTAACTACGTTATTTTACATATACTACCAAAACTCCCAAAAGTAAAATACTATTACAAAAACTCACTATGACATGGATTCAGCTAATATCTACACAAAGGTATAGACCTTAAGTATTAGGCCCACTAACAGAAAGTTTGATTTTAAAAGTTGCCAGAAGGTGGGCATTTAGCTTTATCCAATGTTTTCAGAGATTATATACCATGTAATAAAAATCCAGCAATAACATGGAACACTGAAAATTTATATTTTATCAAGGACATAACGGTACAGCAACTAAGTTTAAAAAATTCACCAAAAATCAAAGTAAGGACATATTCACATACACACAAGGAAAAAAAAGGGACAGAAACATGTATAAACAGTTAAAATTAATGTTATAAAACAGAAATTATTTCAAATATATTTTACTTCTCATACTTTATTTACTCTACTTTTTCCTTAACTCAATAGTAATCAGAAATGCAGATTTGTGTACCTAAAAATTTTAAGTTCAGATTATTTTGTGTGTTTGTGTCTCTGTTTAATGAAATAATTTAAACTCAAGGTTCTTACTACTATTTGATATACCAAATAAATACTTAATGAACAAGTTTATAAGTATAGTCAACAACTGAGTAGCATCTGAATCATATCTACTTGAGCTTATTTTATTAGTTCTTATCTAAGTTTCAGTTCATCAGTGCAGCAAATACTTTTAACAAGTGGGAAATTAGTTATTTAGCAGTGTTCACTTTACCATGAGTTAAAAGATACGCATGCTACAAGACAGAATGCAGGGAAGCTACTGTGTGATTTGCTCATAGGGAAGGCACTAAATGTTTTACTGTTTAGGAAATTCTATTAAGTTTTCTTAACTTCCCCATAAGCAAAGAAAACCTAACTCCTCTTACCTCTAAAGACCAAAATGAGCTTTAGTATCTTATGATCTATCTGAAACTGGTATTTCAGCACCATACATTTGACAATACTACTATATAAACTGTTTTGTTTATGCTATCTTTGAAGACTAAAATGCTTTCAGATGATACACAAAACTGACACAGAGGTCTAAAAGGAAGGTAGACTTACATGAAGAAAGTAACTCCACTCTTGTAGATCACATCAAAAATAACAATCTCAGAAAAACATGGAACTATTCTCTAAGACACCCTCATTGTGAAAAAGTGAGCAAAGCAGCAAACCCTTCCTTACCTGGGAGCAACTATAATCTAGTATTTTTATGTGGGCGCTGAGAGCCAGGTCCATGATGTCTACAGGCACATCATCACTGTGGGCCAGATTCCACAGGAGGTTCAACACTTTGTGTGCCATCACACCATCTTTGTCATCTTCTGCAAGACGACGTATCAGTTCAAGTAGCTTTTCTCGCTGCTTTTTACTTGCATTTGTCCAACTGGCCTAGAAAAAAAAATTTAATGATATGTAAACACCACATATCTATTCGTCACTGCTTAAAACAGTGTCACTGGATAAACTGTATTCATCAGAAAACAACATAGCTGAGCACAGTATTATTTAAGTGGTATCTGAGCAGTAAGATAGGGCAGATTTAAACTCTAGGAAAAAACCAAAAACCTCTATTTACAGTTTAATACTTCTTAAATCAGGGTTTCTCAACCTTGGTACTACCATCTTCAACTGGAAAACTCTTTGTTGTGGGGGGCTGTCAAGTGCATTGCAGGATGTTTAACAGCATCCCTGGCCCCTACCCCACTAGAAGCCAGTAGCAACTCCTCCTCCTAGATGTGACAACCAAAATATCTCCAGGAATTACCAAATATCAGGAGTGGGGGGAGGGGGGCCTCCTAATAAAAACTGCTGCCTTAGATTCAGTCTGTCATTTGTGCCTTTAAAACTATATTAAAAGATGTTAAAGACAACTTGATATACAAAGACTTTCATAATAAATGAAAAGCTTTCTATAGAGCAATGTGCATTACACACATTTAGAAACAAAATAGTCTATAAAAAGTCTGTTATTAACCAAGAAAAAGTTTCTAACTTACACAGAAACAATACGATGCTATTTCAGTTTAGAAGAGAGAATATTTACTTAAAAACTCTAAAATGGCAAACAACAACAACAAAAACCAAACAAAAAACCCACCTCTCTCTAAAATGGTATTTTTTTAAATGCCTAATTTATAACAATGATGTGTATGTGCATGCATGCGATGGTGGCATCTAGTGAGTAGAGGCCAGAGATATTGCTAAACAACATGAGAAAAGGTATCTGTATAAAGTTGCTAAGCAGTGTTTACTGGAGAATGGAGTGCATACTTCTAATTCCTCCTAGACCTTTCAACATTATGAAAGGAATAGGAAAACTGCTAAGAGTACTGAAATATTAGATCATACTACAATTGAGAACATTTTAAAGAGAGAAACCAGCAGTGCCTCCCAAAGGAAGAGAACATCACCACCTATGATGTATTCTAGCAAAAGAACAACAATAAAGCCTCTGTATCATACTATTGATAAATACCAAAGTAATAATCCAGTTTCTTCAACAATTTGCAAGGAAAAACAAAAGACAAAAGGGGGAAACTATAGACTCAAAGAGACCTAAAAAGACATATGTGGCGGGAAGGGTATAGCTCAGTGGAGTACATGCTTAGCATACACAAGGTCCTGGGTTCAATCTCCAGTACCTCCATTAAATAAATAAACAAACCAACCAACCTACTTACCCCCACCCCAATAATAAAAACTGAAAAAAAGAGACGTATGCAACCGATTACAAACTATGGATCCTAATTCAAACAAACTTCAAAAGTAAAGTATGACCTGATACAACTGGAGGTTTTAGCACTATTTGACAATATTAAGGAATTATTAGTTTTTAGGTATGATAACAATATTGTAAATTTTTTCTTCATGTACTCATCTCTAAAGAATATATATTAAAATCATTACATATGAAAAGGAGAAATTAATTAAGAACATCTGTTCATACAAAGCCACCTTAAGGCGAATAAAAAAGACAACCACAATTTGCAACACTTGAACTGATAAGGACTAGCATTCAGAATATGTCAAGAATTCCTATGAATAAGTATAAACAACCCAACAGAGAAAAAGAAAAAGACTTCTGAACATATGCTCTAGAGAAACTCTACAACAGGCCTCTCATATATACACAAAAGGAGAATAGAAACATGAAAAGATACTCAATTTCATTAGTGACCAAGGATATAAAAACCAATAACCACAATGAGGTAAATACTTCATACCAAGCAGACTGTCAAAAATCCCAAATTCTGACAAAAACAAGTGCTGGTAAGGATATGAAAATTTTGATGGGACTGTAAATAGGTATAATCACTTTGAAGAATGAAGACTTACTTAGAACTCAAACATTTAAAAACTGTACCAGGCAAGTACATAGTTTAATCAACAAGTTTTGAATCATTTGGTTGTACTCTATGAAGAACTGCAGTGAGCTGGACTTCATGCTTCCTCTGAATCGTCTTTAGTAGGAAGTATCAAGACACTCTACAAGAATACTAGTTTTACCAACACCTCAAAAAATAGTGCTCGTTACCAAGTAATAAGTGTTCAATAAGCAGCTACTAAGCTAAAGGAGGGGGAGAAAGCATAAATAATGGAATTACTTTTATATTCAGACTATTATTGTATTTAGTTCACTGTTAGAAGAGGGGACGGGGGTCCAGAGAACGTAATTAACAACTAACCTCTCTTTTCTTCCCTCATCTCAAGATTAAAAATGAATGGCAATAAACTTTATAGTACCCGTGATCATTGATTATATAATTCCCTTAGCTGCCTTTGATGCGCTTCAAACTTAATTTTTCCACAGGCCAGTGATCCACAACTTTAAAGTATTTGAGAATCACCTGAGAATTTTGCTTAAAATACAGACTTCCCATGTCCCATACCTACCAACTCAGATTTAGTCGTGGGTGGAAGCCAGTGATTGGTATTTTCTCTTCTATTGTGAAATACACATCAAGAAAGGTACAAATATACACATTACAGTACATAATGTAAACACCTATATAACTATTACCCAGGTCAAAAATAACACATGCTAAGCAGCAGAAGGTAGCTGGGTCTATTTCTGAAGTTTATTTAATGCAATCAAGGTATATGAAGTTTGGTGTTCCTTTCTTCAATCTTCTGTTCACTAGACTCACCGTTGTGGCTGAGTTGCTCAAATTTGCTCATTCTCATTGTTGTGAGGTGTTTCATTATACGAACATTTCACAATTTATCCATCCTACATGGCAATTTTTTGCTATTACAAATAATTCAGCTACAAATGTTCAACGTGTACACCAATGCCCATATGCATGAGTTTCTCTAGAGCATATATTCAGAAGTCAAACAATGAGTCATAAGAATCTTACACTTTTCCAGAAACACCCATCTATTTTCCTAAGTGGATGGAGAACTTACGTTCCCACCAGTAGTCAGTAAAATTGTTATTTTTAACAAGACACCTTCATGATCTAACGCCAGTTGTTAAATAGAATGCCCCTTTGTGAACACTGCCATAAGGTCTTGTGTTCTTGATCCACAAATTCACCAATCATTTGGCTTTTACAAACCAATACTAGTAACTGGAGAGAGACCACTACACAATATGGCCTTAAAAAGTACATGATGCACCAATGTAGATAAGACTGTGGTCTCTTGGGCTACCTTATGAATTACATTTCTATTAAGTCCATGAGTTACACTTCCAATTTGCCTGTGCGTATCACCCCAGGATACCAAGGTATTGGTAATCTGCTGCTGTTGACTCTTTTATTTTTCATTGCAACCAATTATCCTTCCCTGCAGTCCTACAGTTCACATAAGCTATAATAAAAACACAAACTTCTAGGGGAAAGAAATCCAAATTGACAAATGAAATTGCACTATGTTAACTATTACCTTAAAGCAATCAAAAAGATGATCAAGTTGTTCAGGAGAAAAATCCCATGCCAACTTTGCCAGAAGATCATGTACGTTCTTCACAATGGCTTCATGCTTCCCTGCCTATTGAAAAACCAAAGAAAACCACAGCATACTAAAATCTGAACAGCAATAAGTAGCATATACTGCCTGTAGACAACTATTAATAAAGTGTTTCCATGACCTTCATCTAACTGTGTAATCTAAGAAAATTCCTAACATTTAAAATGTTTTAGAACTGCCATCTAAAACCTGAGAACTTAATTTCCTGATATATGGTTAGTGTAGACTTTAGGAATTCATGTAAACTTTTATTATAGTTTACTGACTTTAACGTGCCAATTTTAACATTGCAGACAGAATAAGGCACACTAGTGATAGTTTCAAAACTGGAATCATAAGCACTCAAAGGCAAAATAGTGTTTTCTTGGTTTCTACAGACTCAAAAAACAAAGCTTTGTAATCCAGAACTCACCAGTAGTTCCCAAGTAATCCATGAACAGAAACTTTTCATTTAGATAATCAAAGGAATCACATAGTTTCTAGCTCTGAAACCAAAAAGGTTACTTATTCTTCTATAAACTATTAGTCCTTTGAATTATTACAGGCTTTTATAAATAATCTAGTGATTTAATTCTCCTGACACTGGAGTTTTCTCTGTATTAAGTTCATGAAGAAACAAATTACAGATGTCTTACACTCTTTCAATACATTCCTTATTATTTTACTATTCGCCTCTTATTTAAAACTACCTACAAACTATCAACTTTTACCAAATACATACAGTAGGTGATGTAATATTTTTATTTGAAAAATATTATTGGTTATTTCACAGAGATTCTTGACAGGATTTCTGTAAACAATAAGCATTTAACTATACTATAATTCAAACAATGCAAGTCTTCATCCCATTTCATTACAACTACTATATTTCTTTAGTTTTTGGTAATTTTTTTTTACAAACCAAATACCCACCATCTTAAATTCCTTACCTGTGCTGCCCAGATATTATCAAGATCTTGTAAAGTCAGGGCTTTTTCTTTGATGACAAAACGAAGAATCTTCTCTAGCTTTTCTACATACTGTGGTTGATGAAGACTATCTCGCAAGACTATGGATAAAATATTGTTCTGCTGTATCCATTCCTAAACAGAATTCAAAAACTTGTTTCAAAGCTTTTAAAAACACACAAAGTATTGTTCACACTTTCAAATGTTAGTAGGAATTTAAAAACTCATAGAATATAATGCACTAATATAACATGCTTATGTTCTTTTGATACAAAATTATGAAAAAAAAAACCCGACACAATAATTTCATGGAACTTAACTTTGCACATACAGAAATGTTTCCATGAATTAGAAATAATAAAATCATTAAAAAAGATTCTACTCCAGCATTTACTCAGAAAATTATTCTTTAAATGTTTCGATCACCATGGTTTAGGTGGAGTGGATATAGGACCCATTTTAGGATCTTTAGATTCCTTATACCAGTTTTGATTTGGATGAAAAGTCACTCTTTTAATTTTTTGCTTTTATTTACTAACCAATTGCACTAGTATTGCTTACCATTAGCTCTTTAATTTTCCAAACAATCCTAATTAGGGCTATATTATCTTATTACAGAAAAGTAAACAGGCTTGGAAGTGCTAGAACCAGAATCTGAATCAAGGCTGCAAGCTTCTCAAGTTTGTGTTTCTATTAACACTATGCTATGCTGCTTGACAGCCATTTAATATTTAAACCAACAGAAGAAAACTAACTCATGATTCAGTATAAAGGTAATAGTCCACACTATGATTTTACAGTATTGAAGCACACTTCTCAGCTGGTAAAGGTCCTTTTTTTCCTTTCGTTGTTGTTTTTGTTTGTTTGTTTTATTCATGGAAGTACTAGGGATTGAATCCAGGACCTTAAGGCATGCTAAGCACATGCTCTACCACTGAGCGATACATACCCTCCCCCAGTAAAGGTCTGTTTTTATTTCCAATCTGTTGCTGGCAGATAAACAACTAAAATGTAGCAATTACTACAAAAGTTTCTAAACACTTAATGCTATTTTCTGTACTCATCTAAGGCTGGCAACAGCTCAAGGACCAGAACCAGACCTCAGTCCACACTCTGAGTAGCTCTGTGCTTGACTTCCCACAAGGTGGACAGACAAATCACATAAACAAAATCAGATGTCTACCACCTGAACGCCTAACACAGGGCCAATGTCTAGTCACCCTCCACAAACTTTTTATCACATTCTAATCATTGTCTTCCCTATTAAACTGAGGCCTCCTTGAGGTCAAGGACAGTTCTTTTATAGATGTCTCCTCAGTACAGTCAGACAGTATTATGTGCTGAAGTTATTCAACCAATATTTAAGTGACATTCTTACTCATTTTTAAACTACAATAAAGGTAAGTATCTATGGTAAATAAAGTTTCCTAAACTTTCAAAATCAAAATGATATAAATAAGTGCTCAAGTGAAGTTCTTACAATGATGATAAAACACTAATTCATGCATATCTTATTTCAGTATTTCCTATTTTTAAATCTTTAAATGGAATCATTCAAATGAATAAGCCACTTCATTCAATAGGTACCATACTACCCAATCTGTTCCCCAAATCACCTTCATTTACTCCATTTCAACCAACCCCCTCCCAAGCTAAGAATCACTTCAGAACACCTGCATTCAGCAATAAGTTTATTAAAGACGTGCTAAGCTACTCATATCACCAAATATATCAGATAATAAACGATGTCATCACAAAAGTTCTCAGGACCAATACAGTTGTAGGTCAATCCAAATACCTCCCAATTTCAGAATTTTCTTTAAAATGTTAGTATTAACTTTAAGTAGAGATATTCTCATTTTTGCCTTAGGTAGATTCTTATTCATGAAAGTAGAATCAAAGGACTTACTGCCATTCGTTCAGCTGTGAGCCATTCTTCTTCCTCAGGGTTACCATGCCGATGAGTGTAGTATGACACACTAGATATCACCTTATTAACTTCATTCAGTGCATTCATCTTTCCATTGAAAGAAGAAATTTGCAATAATCTATAAAAGAAATTCAGTGTTAAGTATGATTCTAAACATTCACATAATTAATTATTTCAAGAGGTAAGTATCTTACCTAAGTATCATTTTTAACCTAAATATTTCTAAATTTTTTACAGTTTCTTCTTGTCCTGGAACCCTTGAAGCTAAATTTTTCAAAGATTTAATAATCATTGAAAGGGCATCGTTTTTGGCTTCATTCTTTGCTTCTTTTTTCAGTTCTTCATCAGTTAAGTTTTCCAAAAACTGTGGAACCATTTCTATTACTGGAAGAAAGTACTTTTTCACTGTATGAAGAGTGAGAAATTCATAGCATTGTCCAAATGGTCTGAAATAAACAAGACAGAAATCTCTTTTAATACCCAATTTCATACACTCAAACTAGGACTGAACTCAGATTATTTCTATTACTTTAGAAAGTCCAAGTTACCAGCTAAAGATAAGAGGAAACCATATTTGAAAAAGGAAACTCCATTTTTAATCAAGCAATAAAGTAGCAATTTCTATAATGCACCAAAGATCCATTTTAAAACATAACTTACTTAATAAGGGCTGCAATTATTTGAACATTTAATGCTGATCCATTAATAAAACGATCATGCAAAATCTGGAACCCATTTAAAGTGCCGAATTTGTTGAGAAGATCCACTAGCCAACCCTGCAATACAGTTAATGAAAAAAGTTAACTTCCTGCTTTTGCGGGGAAACAAAGTATTATCTGAAGTAATTTCTTGATTGAAACATTCTAGAAACAGGAAATTCAATAAAAGATTATTATGTAAAGAAAAAAAACACAAAATATTGCATATTGTTCACAGTAATCCTGTCTGTAAAAGCATAAGTAGCCATACAGATTAGATCACCAGAGTATAGCTGTTTTTACCAATATAGTTGGTGAACAAGAATTAGAAGCCATGGTTCTATTTCAGAGATCCCACCATATGAGAATACCTTATTATCTGAAAATATATTTTTAAAAATTTAATAGGGTAAAAAGACTCTTTAAAATGAAAAAAAAAAAAAAAGGTATTTGGTAACCTAAGATAGTGTTTGAATTTATGTTGCAGTTGTAAATAACTAAAACTTCCCTATAAATAAATAATCTTAAAGCCCAAGAATGACCTATCCATTAAAAACTAATCCCTGGCATTTATTTGTTGATTCTAATTAGAACATGCTGGTTGATGCTTTTTGCTGACTCATGTGAATATACCCAGTTCCCATCTTAGAGGTACCCCGATGCAACAGTATGAATTGTCTTTCAACCTCTTCCCTAAGGGATAGCAAGTACAACACAGCTGGAATTGGAAATCGCTTGTATGGTTAACAGCATGCCTATATGTAAAATTAAAATCAAATTAAAAATAAACAGGTATATTTTGGAGACTGCCATTATTTAAATAATGATTTGATTTACTCAAAAATAAGCCTTGCAGTCACGGCAACAATATGAAGCCTGGGAAATACCAGAAAATCTCAGCTTTAAGTTCAATATATTTTGATGATTTCTACTTTTAACAGAATAAATCAAGCACTGTATATATAAATTCAAATTTTCCTGGCTATTTTTTTAAAAACAAGTCTATCAAGATTAAAAATGTCTCCCTAAATTCTGAAATTTAAAAGCTTTATACGGCTAATTATTAATATTTATTAGCAGAAGTATAGTTTAGGGATATATTTTTCTAAATGTACATCATATTTATGCTGGTACAGAAAATTTTACACTGGAGAAAATTTACACTGGAGAATTTATGTTACTATATATATATATTTCATTGACATTTGTTAAGTTTTACTATTTTGCTTTCATTTGTAATTTTTATAGTTTTACTTTTATGACATACTAGACAGGTCCTGGTCAAAGAAGTAATCTTCTGCTGTAATCTTATTTAAAAGGAAAAATATGTTCTATTTTATACTATCCCAAATTATGAGTATTTCTCCCAAGAGGCTGGGCAGAAGACCATGGGAACTAACTACATGGAGAAAGCCAAAAACATTTAAAAATAAAAACAAAACAAACCCAAAACACAAAGTAATGCAAAACCCCTTTAAGAGCAATATGAAACTACTTTTCTCCATGTTAACAAGAGGTTCAGACGATTTAAAGTTCTGTAGCACAGTAAAACAACTGTAATATTTAGCTTTGAAAATAATAAACCAACACACTTTTGGTGATCGAGGATCTGGAGAACGAGCAAAAAGTTCATCTTCAGGCAACTGAACATTTGAGGAAACTGATTCACATGGACGTGTACCATTGTAGATATGGAATTTGCAATGAGGATTTAAGGCCATGGAGAGAAGTTCTAGAAGTGGAAACCAGTCTTGGGACAACTTGGCCACACATAGCTCCACCAGGCGATGAGTATTATTGATAATACACCTCTGTTATAAAAAGGAGAAAGGTGATTAATGACATCAAAACAGTGCAATTCCAAAGAGAAATATCTTCCAATCTCAATTAATTATATCTTAATAATGATCTCTCAATTTTTCTATACTGATCATTAGAGCTATGTTTAATTTTAATAATACTGGGATCAAATTGATGTATTAAAAAGACAAATTAGCATTTACTTTATAATTTATATAGTACCTACTTTCAAAAGCCATTTGCAGTGGCTTACAAAATGAAGTTAACACTCCTCTATGCCCAGAGATGAAAGGCAAATTTCTCTATGCAATTTTTGAACTAGAAGGAACAATTCTAAAATCTAAACAATCCATCAATTATTCAAGATGGAGAAAGTGTGGTAAGCCTCAACGCTAAAGTCTGATACCACTCCCAAAGTTTCCATTCTGCAGTTGTAAACTTACATGTATGCTATGGTTATATTTTAGAAATAGTTAATGGAGCACAAAAACAACTACTTCACAACTTATGACCATATTTCCATACTATAAACAAGAAACAGACTTGCAGTAATTACCGTCCTTCATCAATCTAAAATGCACTTATTTTTTTTTTTTTTACTTTTTAAGGTCTCTGGAATCTTATTGTATCTTACAATCTATGCACAGTACTAGACTAGGTATATGTAGAGAAGATTTGTGTTGACTTCTGACAGTAATTTGGGGAAACCACCAACCTGAAGCCACTTTAAATTCTCCATGAGATTTTTTTGGTATCACAACCATAATTTGAATTCAGGCTTCAAAATTGTTTAAATCTGGCTTGTGGTTTAAATTTTCAGGAGATTCCCACCACCAACGCCCACCCTCCCCCGCCGCTGCCAGGTACCAAGGTTGAGACATGGAGGTTTATTTGGTGTCTCTTTCTATATGTTAAGTTTATTTTTCTGCATTGACTCTTTGTGTCCCAGATAACAGATTCCCCATCTTGGGTGTTTTCCTTTCCTTAGTGGTACATAAAATAAGTGAGTGGTGCATTTCACAACTGACACTGTCATATTTTCAAATAAATATGGTGACTTGCCAAAAGTCATAAGGCACTTGAAAACCAAGGAGGCAGATTAAACCAATGTTTTCTAACTCTAAACCTCACACTCATTCTAAATGATCATGCTTCCTTCAACATAAATTATAATTTATAAGAAGTATCTTAAAGATTTCTCATTTTAAAATTTAATTCAATTAATGGATCAAATAAATAACCAAATATACTATATATATATATATGAGAAAACACTCACAGTCATCACTATGTGAACCTGATTTTTAAAATTCAAGTGCTAGACTCACATGAATTTCAAACTTCCAGCCACTCACTGCCTCGTCTGTAAGGATTTTAGTGAATGATATTGTTAGCCCATCTCGAAAAAATCGCTGACATGCTTCACTTTTAACATCAAGGCCTAAGAAAAGGGGGGAAGAATTAATGTAAACAAAGTATTTCTCTGATTGTCTTACAATGTCCAATGATGTGATAAAAGGTAACAATTGTAAAATATTCAGGAACAGCTAACAAATGCAGACTAGCTTTGAAAAAAAACTCACAGCATTATCTATAAGAGGTCAAAAAGGTAACTGATTCAGAAACAAAAATCATCTCCAATGAATTTCAAAATTACTTAACTGTATAAAAGTACATTAAGGCATGTAGTATTAAGATGAATTGAAATTTTTTCAAATTATGATACTGGACCTTAAACACAAAGCAGTTATGAGTATCACGTGATAGGGAATCTAATTTCTTCACAGTATTTTACTCTGAAAACAAACCTTAAAACTTAATAAAATGACGTTTCACAACCATTTTTAAAATCTCATTTTGGTTATAAATTATCTATTTAACATCAAATAATTTTATACTAGTCTACAGAAGTATTTCATCAAATAAGACAAATTATATTCTTTATTAGTCTCTTTTACAATCTCATAATCTATGCTTTTTACATCTTCGCTTTATTTCATTTGATTTCAGAAAAGCAACAGAGCCACGTGTCCCCAAAACACACACAAAAAATCTTTAACTCTTGATGACAAAAATGAAAAGCCATTTAACTTGTATTTAAAGCATTATCTGATTCTGACTGTACAAAAGAGATGACATTCAAACCCAGGGCTGTACTTTAAAAAAATCTGAACCTTGCCTAAAATTAAAATAAACCACAGTCCCAGAGAAATAAGGGAGCAGGTCAGAAAGTGCATGTCCAGTGAATGTCAATGATATTACAGGAAATACCACTATGTGTTTTTACCTATCATTGTATAGTCAGGACCTAAAACACACCTAGGACAGAAGTCTTCAAAAATTTGCTAAATTAATGAATGTGTAAATGAAAGAAATAAATTTGTAATGGAAACTAATTGTAATCTGATAATGCATTTTCATAGTTCACTAGATTGTTTTTACAAGATTAATAAGGCATAAAGCCAAATTCTTTAAATGAAGGAGGGTAATTATTCCAAGACAAAGGAAATTTTACCCTTGCCATGGAATGAGACAGACTTTTAAGCAAGGTACTAAAGACAGTAATTTTTATAATTGTGATAATGCCTACCGATAGAACACATCCATGGCTACCCTATTTCAGAAATTGAAATGTTACTGTCATTTGTTCAACTGCACCTAAAGAAGACCAAAGCCACTGAAAAAATTAATTCCAATGCCAAGCTAGACTTCTAGACAAGAGTAAAAACATGATTCCTTTTTACTGCCTCATTTTTTAAAAAACACAGGACCTCATCTTTCAAGTTTTTTTCTTTTAGAAAAATTCAAACCTTTTCTGTGTATTAAAAATAATCAACACATAAGCTAGGCAGTCTAAATAAGAATATATAAGAATTTTATGCATAACTTGAAAGAGTTTACAAACATCCCTGAAGGTTGTCCTCAGGATATTAACCCTTGTCCTAGGTACAAATCATACAGTATAGCAAGAAAGCGTAGTTCTAGACTAGGAATATACAGAAGTCCTCAGGGATGAAGTGAAATCGTATCTAGACGCATACATTATGAAAAGTGTAACACCATTTAAACTTACCTTTTTTACTAAGATCAATAGCAGCTTCTAAAAGCACTTCTAATTCCCCTTTCGGCAAAACTGGAACCACCCATCGAGGTCTAAGAGTGTTAATAATATAAAAAGATGTTTATTGGTTGAGGCACTATAAATGAGTTATTAATTATAATTACTCACCTCACCATGAAACTATTAAATATTAACATTAAAATAACATTAAAGTGTTAAATAACAAATTTGGCAGAATATGTGCTTTGTGAGACTAAGCGCCATCTGTTGCCTCTACAAACAATAATTTTTAAAGGAAATGTCAAAAGATATAGCAATGAGAGAAGGGAAAAACAAAAGTATTTTAATAACAGAACATAAAACTACTGTAATATTCAAATGTCACTTAAATAGATACCTATAGTTAGAGTTCATAGGAAAGTGCTCTTTTCAGAATTCAGGTTAAAGGAGACATCATGATGAACCTTGTAGTTGTCTTCAACTTTCTCACAAAGAAGAAAACATTTAGGTGGAAAATGACTGATTTCTACCTCAATTCATCGTAATTCATCAACTATTCCTGAAGGTTAAGTGAGACACAGGTCTCCAAGTCTTTATGACTCCAGAGGCACCCTTCTTCCCTCAAAAAGGATGTAGTATACACCCAGGTAGTGCCTTCTCTGGTCCCAGTGGCAGCAGCTCAACCATCTGGGAGCCCACCCTTTTCCTACCCCTTCCTCCTCACTACCACCCAATCCATGCACTTCTCCAAAAACCCCCATTTTGATAAAAGTGCTCCATGACCACATGATTTATATTAGAAACAAATGTATACCACCCTTTCTCATTGCTTTTATTTACATAAAAAATATCATTTGTGCTTCTCTTCCCCTACAGATTTGCTAACATGCAACTTTGTCCTTGAAGACACATAAGAAGTACACTTTATTAACAATCACCAAAACCAGACAAAAGTCAAAAAGCAACAACAGTACCCCTTTCTGCTATGATATGTCTGCTATAGCGAATGGTCAGGGACATTACAACTTCATACAATCTTTTGTCTGTCTGTTTGACTATAATTCATTGTATACCATTACTACAGGCACCTGCCAGAATCACATTTTATGTGTTCTTTCGGGGAGGGTGGGGGTTGGTATGCTCAGTGGTAGAGCACATGTTTAGCATGCACTAGGTCCTGGGTTCAATCCCCAGTACCTCCATTAAATAAACAAACAAACCAACCTAATTCTCTCCCTCCTCCAAAAAATTATACAAAATACTTTTTTTTAAATTACCCTTAGAAAAAAAAGTGTTCTTTCAAATATACCTTTAAAAACAATGAGTTAAATATATTAATAATATAATATTCACAATAAAGTGAGGAAAACAAGTTACAAAATATTCTAGTACACTTAGTAAGGCAAGTGCCTATAAGCGTGTGTTTTCCTTATTGGGGGTTGGGGGGATACGTCACACCTCCCGAGCATTCACTTGATGACCCCACAGCTTGGTGAAGATCACAGACATGTGGGAGTTCCCCAAGACACTCTTCCCTTCTCTTCTTTAAATCTTTTCCTTCCTCTGCACACAAGCTTAAACTTTCACTTTCTCAGTCTTCCTCCATATAATCAAAGCAGCGGCAGGGTTGTTGATGAATGTTTGTACTACGAGTATGAACATTTATACTCTGAACTAGCCTGAGATAAAGATCAGGAGAGACAAATAGCTGAGATGGTTAAATGCCTCAGACTAGTCAAGGGTTCACAAGGGGCAGACTCTCAGGAACTCAATCTCCTTGCGACCTGGTTTACCTCAGGGCCATGTAAAAATTATTAAAGTCATCCAGGAACCCACATGCCAGTAAGAAAAAATGGAAACCACACATACAGTTCCACTTTAGAAACACACCAGCTAGGGTCATCATCATTAATTTGAACACTTTGACATTGTTACTCCCTTTGATTTTTTAAATCCATTAATAACCATGGGTTGCAAAGTACATGGCAATGATTATGATGTTAAGGCTATTAAGGAGGCAGAATGGTTACTGTGACATCCTTATTTACTCTTTCTTTTCTTACTACTAATCACTACACTGAAAAAAAAAACTGTTGGTTTTCCTGTGTATGACACACATAAAAAAACACACAAAAACAAAAACCAAAAAACCAACTCACCTATTGATCATGTCATCCAACTTTGCCAGGTCGGTATGTGGAAATGCAGGCTCCTCATCTTCAAGCTGTGGTGGAGCATCACCTTGACCTTGTTCATCTGGGGGAGTTGCCGGGGAATTTTCATTGGAAGAATCAGGCGATGAAGTCTTAATTAAAAATCAGATATTCCAGATTTAGGTTTCAATAACATATGTACAACATCTAATAATTCAAATACCAACACAGATTAGGGGGAAATAACAAATTTTTAAAGAATATATGATCATTGTAAGCTTGTGATGTTTCAGGCAGTCTCTGTGCTACTGTGCTTTAAAATAATTTTATTTAATCCTCAACAACCTAAGAAAGTATTCTTCTGCCACTTAATTCATCTATTAAAAAACGAACTCAGACAGTAAGTAATTAGCCTAAGGTCACACAGCTCCAACTCTGTGGTAAGGATCTGAATCCAGGTCTAGTTCTTATCTAGTGTATACTGCTTCTCTGCTTACATTTTCTATTATATGAGCCCTGTCATGACAGAAATTATTGCACATTTCACACATTAAAAAATTTGACTTACAACTTTTATTTTTCAATTTGAAAGGGAAAAATAAATTATATTCCATAATCTCCCTAGTAAACTATTATCCAATTATTAAAACTTCATGATTGTAGTTTCTAAATAAGTCACATCATTTTCAACTAATATGGCTAATTTTATTCTCTTTCATTTTCCATTTTCAGCATGCCTTTCTCTCCCCCCCCACTTTAGCTGTGCATAATATTTTCACAACTAAGTGAATGAACTTTTATGACCCTTACCCTTAATTTTGAAAACAGATGGAATTTTTCTCTTTCAAGCAGATGGAATTTTTCTCTTTCAAACTGAAACCAATCTAAATTTTAAGCTTGAATTCTCTACCCACTGCAGGTTCATGGCCCTCTTAAAGAAGGTTCCTTTCCCTACCACTTTAGCACCTATTGGACAGATGCATTAAAAAACACTTATACTGAAGACAAGTGGGTATACCACCATTAATACGTTCTACTTACAAAGTTTATATATGAACTCATAAAGCCAATTTCCAAGTAAATACGAATGCTATGCAGGTGCTACAGGGCCAGTCTCAAGGCAAAAGAATCCACAGCACAGAATTCAAGTGTTAGAAGCCCAACAGAAATACTTGCATTTCAAGTATGTAACTTAGAAGTCTGCTTTAAGTATTTGTTAAAAAGCCCCATTTCCCCGGTATTTCTGTATTATATACGTGATCTCAGAAATCACAGAGACAAAAATAATAATTAAGGCACCTGTAATACCACACAAACAGGTAAACACCCATGACATGTTCTTATTTCCTTACAATTTTTGTTCCATGTGGCCTACCCCACAAAAAACCCTATTATATATGTATAAATTTTCAATAAAATTGGGATTATAACTGCTTAAGCCTATCCTTTTCCATTCAACATTTGAGTATTTCCCTATATTATTAAGAATCTTTTTTAGGGTTGTTTAATGCTTATATAGTATTAAATGAATTAAACAAATTTAAGGAACATTTGGTATTTGCAATTTTTATTGTTAACATAAACAGAAATATACTGACTCTTTTATATATAAATCTTTGTGTTGAAATTCAATTTTTCCTTAGGAGAGGATCCTGGAAATACAATTACTACAACAGTATAAACTATTTCTTTTAGGGATACTGATATATATATGGCCAAATTCTATTCCAGAAAGTCTGCATCCTCCCATTAGCGGCACCCGAGTGTTCATCCCACAGTGCTTGGGCCAAGGTTGCTTCATTTATCACTGAGTTCTACTATACACTAGAGCCTAAAATTCTCTCTGGGAACACCCTTTTTAAAAGATTTTCTATATTAAGTGAAAAATCTGATTTTAAAAATTCCCTTTATGCCAATACGAAAAAAGCATATTACAAAAGTAAGCCTTAGTGATTAATGCTATGGTTGCTTTTTCTTGGTCCAAAAAGTGTCAAATCTTGTGAAATAACTAAAAATCTTAAAATTAAAAAGTAGAGAAAAACAAAGTGAAAGAAGGGATCTCTACAGATAGTTAAGAGTGTAATTTATTCTGTTCCTTTATTGTTTTAATTATCACTCATCCTCAAAAACGTAAAAAGCTATTTGAAGGAAGAGGACATAATGCAGACACAATATTAAGTGGAATATCACAAACCCAAGAGCTCTACGAGTTATGAAGCACACCTTAAAATAAAATTATGGTTAGAGGTTTAATTTTTATCTAAAGCCATGCAAGTGACAAACATTGCAAAAGAAGTTAAAAGTCCAAACACAATGCAGGTATAAAATAGAAAAGATAGAGCAAAAGATACTGGAACTCTAACTACAAGCTCCTGGTTTAAAAATAGAAATCTCTGGCATCCAACACAAACCTTTGACTATGTTTAAAAAACATAAATACTGGCTAACAAATTTATGACACAGCAGAGACTTAACAACTTTGTCCAAGACTTCTGACCATATACTTAAGCATTACATGTCTGAAAAGTGGGAACTGGAGAGGAAAAGGAGTAAAGTTGACATTATTTAATTGGAAAAAAAAATTTTAAACCTGACCTGCTCACTTCTCTAAAATGGCAGAGGGAGAGGAAGAAAGGAGGGGAAGGAAGAGGGTGTGCGCACGCACACACACACACAGCTCTTTCCTACCATACTTGTAATAGAATATCTAATCTATAATAAATAGCTGGACAGTAAGAACTTTTTCCCAAATGACAAATGTAAGTACTCTACAATAACAACATTTTTACCGATAAACTTATCCGTACAGAATTCTACATAAACACGAACCAAATGTAAGCAGCAAGTTTGTGATTCACATTCGTGTACCTTAGCTACAAATTCACCTCTAAGCTGCAACATAGCTTTAACTAATATCTTAAACATCGTTTTAATGTTTGTCTTATTCAGTTTAATATCTCAATATAAAAAAGGCTGAAAATCAATTTTCTGAACTTCCATTTCAAGAAATGAGAAAAAGAACAGCAATTCAAATCCAAAGGAAGTAAAGGGAACAAGAGATAAGGGTAAAAGCATACAAAGTAGGAAGTGGGGGGTGGTAAGGGCTAAAGCCAAAAATTGGTTTGGAAAAAGGTTTAATGAAACTGATAAATCCCTAGGAAAGCGTAATCAAGAGAGAGACTACAAATTAGCAGTATTAGAAATAAAAAAGGAGATGTTACCACAGACCCTAAGACATTAAAAAGATAATAACAAGGGATATTATAAATAACTTTACTCCAACAGATTTGACAATCTAGATGAAGTAGACAAATTCCTTGAAAAAGACACACACACACACACACACAAAAACCTGAAAATCCCATTTAAAAAAAAGTTGGATCTGTAGTTATAACCTTTCCACAAATAAAGCCCCAGGCCAGATGTTTTCACCAGTAAAATCTTCTACACAATTAATGATGAATAACTTAAATCTTACACAAATTCATCCAGAGAATAGGAAAAAAAAGGGGGGGCTATTACCCTATGAGTTTTGAGGCCACATAAAATCTTGATACCACAATCTATTTTAAGATCTTTGCAAACATTACTTCATTTGATCCTCTTAATCATCCTTTGAAGTAGTTACACTATTGTTATCCTTATTTTGCAGCTGAAAAAAACTGAGGCTTAGAGGTCATGTAATTTACCCAGTCATAAAACTAGTGTGGTGCAGAGCTGAAATCTGAACCAAGCAATATGACTAAAGTCCGTATTCTTAACTGTAGGCTACATCGAACGATTTAATGCTTTGCCCCAGAACTGACACAGGGCTTAAATACTTAATTTTAATGATGACTGATAGGATAAAGCACCAGAAAAAAAAAACTACACACTCAAGCATCACCATCTATACAGCACCTGAGTTCCTTGCTACTGTGTAAGACTTACTGTTTATTTTCCTCAAAACAGTTTTATGGTTACTTCACAAATTATTCAGAACATGCTCCATTATTTAGTATCCCATAATAGATACACCAACATAGCTTTAACTAGTATCTTAAACGTCGTACCTGATTCTGTTGGAGGGGGGGCTGAGACTGTCCATCAGGAGCCTGGCCCTGGCTGTCATTCCCTCCTACTGGAGAGCCACGAGTCGTGGCTGTCATACTCGACACTGGGCAGATCTTTGCAATTTTGTCTGCTTATGTAGTTGTCTTGAAAAAAGAAATTATAGTCCACTTATAGAAGATGAAGTACCAGCATTTGTCAGTCTTAAAAAGCTCCAATTCAAGAATAAACCATCTTGCAGAGACCATTGCATAACCTACAAGCAGAAGAAAAAAAGTACATTTGTTTTAGATATGAAAACATCAATTAAAGAACTGTTCAAACTTAATATTACCAATGAACCTAGTCAGGAGAAGGTGGCTATATAAATGCGAGGACAAAGTGAAAAGCTAATGTTTCATTAATACTCTATTCAACTTAATAAACTGATAATGGTACATTAGCTGTTAATGTAAGAAAACATACAAGTATGATATAATACTTCAGTTTCTTTCTGGGATTCCAAATACATTCTCAAGATACATTTATTAAGTTGCCTTTTGATTCAATTATGGAGTGGTTAAAAACTGTCTTCAATTTGCTAATGCTTTAAATATGTTGTAAAAATGTGTATATTCAAGAAAAACCAAATAATAAAATCTGATTTTTAAAAACAATTCAGAAAGGACTGCACAACTAACATTTATCACTGGTATTAGGGCTTATATTATAAATGGTTTCTAAACAAGCTTACAAGTGGTTTTAACAGAAACTTTAAAACGTTGGGGGAATTTTTCTTTGGAGAGGGTTCAAACTGTATACTAGTCCTCCAATACAACCTATTTTGCCAAATGACCTTGACTCCACTTTTGGCAAGGTTTTGGCCACAGGCACTTCCAGAGCTATGATAGGACTATAGATCCCAACTGTTTAACAATGGAATTCTTCTTTGCTACCTGACTAGCATAGTTGTATAGAGGAATGCCACAATTCTATAGGCTATATTCATTAGATCAATGAGTCTCATCCTTAGCTACATAGCAAAATCATCCAAGGTGGTTTTAAAAACACTGATGTCCAAGCACAGAGAACTATGTATTCAACATCTTGTAATAGCCCATAATGAAAAATGTGAAAAGGAATATATATATAACTAAAACACTATGCTGTACACCAGAAATTAACACAACATTGTAAACCAACTATACTTCAATTAAATAAACAAAACACTGATGTCCAAACTCCTCTCCAGACTGAATAAATTACTTTTCAAAAAATCTCCCTTATGACCAATTCTAATGGGCCGTGAGACTGAAAACTTTAGCTGACTGATTTATAGGTATTTGGTTCTAAGTAAGGCAACCACACTTCCACTTAGTCCACGTTTGCCTCAAATTTAAATATAATCACTTAACCCAGAGATGGGAGTTCTAACAAGACTTTGTTTCACTTATCGAATTGGTGTAATAAACAAAGTTTAAGACTGATAATATCAGGTACTGGTGAAGCTAAAAACAGAAAAATCTTTAATATGTAAAGTGGAAAAACAATTAAAAGATAACATGATTGAATAGCCTCTCTTTCACTTTTGTTTTCCATTTTTACACACCCTACATTACAAGAAGTTCTATGTGAAGTAGACAATTTTAGAAACCTGGAAAAACCCACCTATCATTTTCTTTAGCCATTTTTGGTTGGCTGCGAAATTGCGTATTTTTTTTTCTTACCCCTCAGAATATTAGCTAACCAATTCAACAATACTCTTCTCTACTACAAATTTGTTCCAGTCTCTTCCTTTTGTCCCCCAACCTGGGCTCATGATCCCATTGCTTATGATCCTCAATGGATGATGTTCCAACAGTCACCTTCCTCAATCTTTTCCCAGGTGCCTCCTTCTTAGCCTATAAATATACTTGAATCTTTGTTACTGAAATGAAGAAGAAAGAAAAAAAAAAACACCCTCAACCTCTGCTCTTTCCTTTCCTCCAAAAATCTTAAAAAAAAAAAAAAAAAGCCTCTGTCTTCCCTTCCCCCTTCCATTCTCTCATCATACAGCTGTGGCGTGTTAAGCTACCAAAACTGCTTTAAGCCAGTGGGTCTTAATTGAGGTCTATGGATAGGTTTGAAGATTAAATCCCCTAAAATTACATACAAAGCTTTGTGAATATGTACATTTGGTGGCGGGGGCGGGGGGGGGGGAGAAGGGAGAGAAGGTCTGGTCCACAGATCATCAATGCTCTACTAACTGACAATTAACTGATAGTCAAACAACTGCTTCTTGCTCCAGACAAAAGGGACTATTCCTTTAAACAAAGTAACTTTAAGGTAAATGGAGAAGGTGGCAGTCTGTAACCTCTCCCCAAACAAAGTACCTTTCTCTCAGACCACAAAACTAAATCATCTTCTGCTTCTTGCAGAAAATTCCATTGGCAAAGCCTCAAAGCTGCTTGCCATCCCTATCCCTTATAAAGTCTCATCTTTCTGCCTCTTGGTTTCTCAGTTTCCTCTACGACTAAGTTCTCCACATTTTTAGATTCCCAGTGCTGCTGGGCAGGTACAGCAGGTTTCAGCATGGCATATTCTATTTTGCTATTTTTAACAGCCATCTCTCTACCACTACATAAGAATTGGATACCTTTTCCTCAGCGTGCTAGGTTGAGAGATAAAGAGCAAGACATAGGTATGGAGCAATTAAAAATAACTTCTGGATTCAACTCTTGTTAATAATAACTCTTGTTCAAAAATCCTACCTCTGCCACTTACAAACTGCCTGTCTTAAAAGGCCAGTAATGACGACTCTCATTTCTCCAGGTCTTTAAAACTGAGATAATGCTACCCACAAAAATGCCATGAAAATTATTTCAGTAAAAGCGTTTCACAAATACCAAACACATAGTAATTCTCAAAAAATTTATTTTTCCTATAATGTACTGTGCAGGGTTATTGAATATTTGAGCTAAGACTTTGAAAATAATGTATTCAGATATAATTTGGAAAAATCTGAATAGAAAAAAATTCTCAGGATATGTTTCAACTAAGTTATCCAATAGTAACACCGCTACCTTTCTTAATAAATCTCATTCAATCCTAGTGGAAGAAAGAGATGGGAATATCATACTGCTTTACTTATTTCAAGAAGTAGCCTCAAGGTTCTAAAGGAGCTTATTTTCCAAGTCACACATACTGAGGCATTCTTAGCAGGGTTAGAACAAGCTTTCTACCTAGTCGAAGCAGCAGTATCCTACACAGAACCCAGCAACTCAATAATTATTCAAATCATTTAAAATTTTACACAGTAACAACCATTTCCTGTAGGAATGCTAAAATTCAACAAATCACAATGTGAAAATTCACTGTATGAAGTTTTAAGCTTCACATAAAGCTTAGTGTTTTATTTTAGAAAAACAAATGTACTCTAAGGGTCACTGTTTTCCCTCCTTTTCATTCAGATTTTACCAGAATGCATCTTGGATTTTCTGCAATACAAAATGTAACCAAATTGGCAATATTAGATTGCCTTTAGAACACACAGGATTTTTTCATATTCAAACTTGGCATAACAACATCTTCCAAAATGGTAGTATCATCTTTACCTGGATAAAGGTTGGCAACCTAGAGTATTAAGTAACCTAGTATTCTGTAAGTGACAACCATTTATATTTATTTTAAATGTTGCAGAACTAAATTTCTAGAGCAGCTGTCAAGTGGAGGGCTTTAGTACCAGAGAAACCCCCAGGACAAAGCATGGTCCTTTCTCTACAGCGTCATTATTCCATCTCTGCTCAAACCTTCCCTATATTCCAGAATCTCTCCTTTTATACAGCACCCTGAAACTCTTATAACTCCATATAAATGATCCTAGAATATGTAAAGAGTTCCTTCTCTGAATTTTTCTCTTTTCATCCAAAAAATAAAAGATGCCTAAATAAAAACTCAAAGCTCAGTCGTTCAAGAGATATATGCTAAGCATTTACAACGGGCCACATATTGTTCGAGGAATAAGGGAATATATGGCAGTACAAAGCAGGCAACTCTTGTTCTTGTAGAACTTAACACTACAGATTAAGGAGAGAGACAAGCAACAACAACCAAGTCCAAAACTCCAACAAATTATTTCCTTTACTGGTCATCAAAATGAGTTGAGTTTCTCTCTCCAAATTTGAATCGGGGAGAATTAAGAGGGAAAAGGGGGGAACAAGGATAAGAGATTGATCTTTCTCTTAAAAGCATGATTACCGTCAGGGCTGTGCTCATCTCTCCAGTTATGTTTTTTTTTTTTTGCATTAGAAATGATCACTTGAATTTTATTAAAACGCAAACCATATCATGTCACAGCCCTGTTTAAAAATCCTCAAAGGCCAGGATGAAGACCAAAATACTTCTCTAATGGTCTACAAGGCCCTCGAACACCCCACTTCAGCCTCATCTTGCAACCATCCCACCCAAAGTCTATTCTAACTCCATCCAGTTCAATGTCTTCTTGTTGCTCCTTCAAAATGTACTTTCCATGCTGACTTTGGAGCCTCTGCAAAAGCAGTCTTAGTTCTGCCCATCCTGACTCACCAGCCCTCAACTCTTCTTACTCAGAATTCATCAAGTACTCCTATCTGAGGCTCTCAGAGCAAGTTGAAGTTTTCGTTCATAGCATCTGTGTGATGATTTCTCTCCCCATCAAAACACAAAAGCTCTGTAAGGGCAGAAGCTGTATGAGCTTCGTTCATTACTGAATCCCAAGGATTCACTGGCATATGATAGGTGGGCACTCAAAACAAAGAAACAAACAAATAAATAATAAAAAAGAGGGAAGAGGTAAAATCAACAACAAAGTCGAACCCTCTCCCTTCCCATCTCCATCAATTCCTCTTTTATGATGTGTCCAACTTTTTTTTCCACTCCCACTCAGGTTAGACTCCAATTTTGAACGGCATTCTGGATGGTCTCCACACTACCAGTCTGTTTAGTACATAATTGTTAAATTAATCTTCTAATACTTCCAGTCTTGAAACCTTTAGTGGCTTTCTCCTCTCTACCTTTTCCATGAGTACTATTGTTTAAAGTCATTCACAATCAGCCCTAACTTCTCATTCCCTAATTTCGATACTATCACAGCGGAGTTGACAAGCCTCAGAAACGGGGACAGAGTGAATAGGCAGTCAAAGTGGTAGAGTCAGGATTCTAACCCAGGGAGTACAAGCTCCAGGGTTCTACAGCTTTAACTACCATGCCATGTATTAATGATGTCTGAAAATAAGGAAAAAAAATCTACCATTAATCTCA